GCCGCCTCCGGATCCGCCGTTCTGCCCTGGCCCGGAAAACCCGGCGCCTTCCAGGCCCTTCGAAAGATGGATTCTGTTGACGTATCTGGCGGCCCTGGCGAGCCGGGTGGAAAGTTGGGTTTTGCCAAATCGAGCCGGGCTCCTCTTTGTGACGCTCAGCCAGCCCCGCATCTTCTTGGAGCCCGGTGAGTGTGCGTCGGCGCCCGAGAGCCCCGATTGCCCCCCAATGCCCAGACCAAGGGGGGCCGCACCAGCTCCGGCTTTCTGCCATGTTAGGCACAGAGCAGCGTTCTCACTGCATTTTTTTTTTTTTTTTTTTTGCGTGCGTTTCAGTGGCGCCTTTTGCTGCGGAGGGAGTTATTGCGTGTCTCCGCGTTGGCTTTTTCGGGGTTGGGGTTGTGCACTGTGTGTTTGCTTGTTTGCTGTTTAAAGCCCGACTATTGTTCAGGGTAAGCTCCGCCTGGGTGGGGAAATGGCATCCCACCACAGTTATTGGTGAGGGGTAGAAATGTTGCCAAACAGCTGCTGCTTTGTGTTTCCCTATCAGAAGTCCCTGGAGTAGGTTTGGGGCACGACGGATGGATGGGGAGAGGACTGGGACACGAAGAAAGAAGGTGGCTTTGGAGGAGCAGATTGTCACCCACCCCATGGCACGATGTCAGCCTCCCTCTCTGCCTGCCAAACTTTTATGAATATTCCTTTTGTGGCATCGGGAAGCTTAATGAATTTAGAAGCTTAATGAATTTAGCCCATTTTCCGAGGAATAGCAAGCCGGCTTTAACAATGGTTTGGGAACTTAATCAATGAGAAAGGCAGGGAGGAGGAGGAGGAGTTGACACCATATGGGGGGGGGATGTGGCCTTTTCTTGCAGAGTCAGGTAAAGGAGAGGTGGACAGGGCTCAGCGCTTGGGGGCCGCTTTCCCGGAACTATTGGTAGCTGTAACCTGTGCCCACTGGTGCCACCCACCTTCATGCCCCCACCTTCTGGGCTACCCAGAACCTGGCGATGCGGCTTGAGAGGCAGCTTGCGGCAGTGATCAGGCCAGCCCCTCTCATCTGGCGTTTTTAAGGATGTGTAAATATTTTGCTGAGGATAAGTGACATCAACAGAATGATATTCCGCAGAGCCCGGGTGTGCAGCGATGATAAATAGATATGGCCAAACAAAGTTTTGATAACCACGTATTCTCATGGCTCGCTGTTTCATTTGGGTCTTTGTTTTTGTTGGTTTAGCATTATCTCGCATCCTCTAGTGTGATCCCTTTATTTAGCCGATTCTTGGAAGCTTCTCTTTAGAACAGAGAGAAAAGCAGCCAGTAGGGAGAAAACAATTCTTAGCCTTGCATGCATCAGGCAAGGTTTTCTGTGCTTTTCCCGGGGACTCTTTCCCACCGTTTTCTAGATGTCTCTTCCTCCTTTGGAGTCATCAGAATTGTTTATTGGTAGACCGAGAGACTAGTTAACTTTGAAAAATGTAGGGTGGCAGCGCCTTTGTTACAGTGAAGGGGTGGCTGTGTGGGAGGGAGTTAGTACGGAGGCCTGGTAGGTGGGCACCCCCTCCAGGGTGCAGCACGTCCTCCAACTCCCTGCTTTCCCGTCGAGTTCCCTCCCCAAGGGCAATATGAGGAGTGATGCTACTCGAAGAAGCCAGGGGTGGGCTGGGAGGCACAAAATCGTAACCCTATTGGCCTACTGGTTTCTTTGCCACTTAGAAACACAGAGAAGCCCCTCCCCCACCCGAGACCCCCCCCCACATATACACAGTATCCTTCTGCACATGGGCACTGGCTTCTCATCCTGATAGATGCCTATTAGTGTTGGGACAAGGTGGCCCTGGCACTTTGAGTTGTGGGACTGGAACTTGGGGAACTGGCTGTTTTGGTATCAGCCCCGGGGACCATTCAGCCACCCAGCGGGTTCCTTTATTATTCAAAGAACCCCAGACATCAGGTGTCTAGGTTTGGCCCTGGAAAATCTGCTCATCTCAGGAACAAATGAGAAAACAGTTTTCCAGGCGATGCCAGTTGCCCTGTGTTGTGAGAATTTGGTGGGCAGTTGGGAAAGAACTGTGAAATAGATTGCAAAATCTTACATTCAGACAACGGAGCTGCAAAGACGGGGCCATCTGAGCAACAAAAAAGAAAACGCAAAGGCTGAGAGGTGTGTGGCTGGGCGTTGCTGGGAATGCTGTAGTGCCAGCAGGCTGATGGTAGTAATCCAGAATGGAGATCTTCTTGCACACACAGTCTACTGTAAGCCCACAGCAATAACAACAACGAAAAACAGCAAGTGTCTGTTCTCTGGCTGCTAATCTTACATTTGGGGGCCGGGGTGTGTGTGGGGGAGTAGAAGGAAATAAATTGGAAAGGGAGCTAGCATTTATTGTTGCCCTCTGTCTGCCAGGCATTTCGCATGTGGGAAACCTTCTCAGTTTCACTGTGACCCTTATGTAGCATTATTTTACAGATAATGCTCAGAGAAATTTCCAGTCACGAGCCTGATTCCAGACTGGTGGTTATGATTTAAAGGGGTAATATGTCCCTCTTCCCCTGCTCAAAGTCTCTTATTTATTTCTCCCAAAGGCCAGAGTCCTCAGCCCAACCCCCTTTATAAAATATGGTACCTAATTGGTGTGTGTGTACGTGTGTGTTGGAGGCAGGAGCCCACCAGTGAGGCAACCCAGTCACCCATGATCCACACTTCCGTGCCAAGTAGATAGATCTAAGCGAGTCCCTAACTGTTTTGGATTGAAAGACAGGCTGCTGCCTTTTCAGCTTGGAATCCCCAACACCCCATTGATGCTAAATAAATGAGAGTGGAGTGACCAAATGATGGAGCTGATGGGATGAATGGTGGTGGGGAGGGAGCTGTGAATCATTGTCAAGGGAGACCCAGCAGGGAGAAATCCAGGGGTTTGTGTGTTTGGTGGGGATTCAGAGTCTCTGGTGTTATGCTCCTGTCTGAGCCCTTGGCAGTTCCATGCTGACAAGCCCTGATTTAATCCTTTCAACACCCACATGAGATGGGCAGTATTAATCATATCTTGTAGATGTGGAGACTGAGGTTCAGACAGGTTACATGATTAGCCCAAGGTCCATGGTGGGACAAAAGGCTTGGCGAGGTATTTTTTGATTCATTACTGTTTCAAAGGAACAAGCACTAAATAAAAACAGGGATTTGCTATGCAAATGTATCATCACAGCAAGTCCCTTAGCCTCCTTCCAACCAGATGGTAACCTTTCAGCCCCTGGAAATTCTGGAGCCACTAGAAGAGCCACGATTTGAATCCATATATGAAGGGCTTCTGATTTCACTGCTTCTCTGATCAGAATATGAGGGAAACCTCAAAGAATGAGATTCTCCAAGAGGGGGAAAGATAGCTAATTGCATTTTTCCCATTCACAAAAGCCTGTGTGAGATTCTGAATTAAGCTTGATTTGGGGATCAGGGTGGCATCCTTGCTGGAGAGTTGGCAGCTCTTGTCTTTGAAGAATGCCTCTGATTACCACTTCTCCCACCCACCTGATCATTTGCCTGGGTGCCCATCATCTTGTTCCTTCCGGACTCAAGCCCCCTCCTTTGTGGCTCAGTTTTTGATGAGCCTCTTGAGTCTCCTGCTCCCTTGTACTCTAATGGCAGCTGGTGAGGAGGGGATTTTGGCGGCCACATTAGTACTTCTGGATTTCACACATGACCCTCCTTCTCTCTCTCTCTGGCCAAGAACACACACAAGCACACATGCATAAACACAGGCGCATGTAATTTGATCATATTTCTGTATCTGCTACACCAAATTAGATTGTAAACCCAGGAATTGTTATTGAAAGAAGTATGTGACTTTGATGATCTGTCCCAGCCCCTGCCCTAAACAAACCAGCAAAGCTAAGCTGAAGATGGCTCAATTAGCGAATGCCTACAGCAGGGATCATACTTGCTGGCCTTCTCACAGCTGTGAGGAAGACCGTGCCCCACAATGTAGGCATGGTCTGTTTCATCCATGTGGGCTTCTTTAACAGAATAGCATAGACTAGATACCTATAAAAGTGAAAATTGGTTTTGTGTAGTTCTAGAGGCTGGGAAGTACAAGATCAGGGTGCCCGCAGATTCACTGTCTAGTGAGGTCCTGCTTCCTGGTTCCTAAATGGCTGGTCCTCATTGTGCCCTCACGTGGCAGAATAGGCAAGCAAGTTTTCTGGGATCTCTTGTGCGATAACTACTCTCACTGATAAGGGTTCTATTCTTATGATCTAATCATATCCCAAAGATTCCACCTCTTAATATCATTACTTGGGAGATTAAGATTTCTGCATATGAATTTTGGGGGTACACGAGCATTCAGATCATGCATGGTTTCAGGACCTTTCATAAAAGCCAATCCAGAACTCCCAATCCTGCTTGTTCCAATTTCTGCTGTCATGATTAGCTCCAGCAAGTCAATAATTATAGAGAATTTTGGAGTACGTCCTGCTCACACCTGTCATTCCTCTTCCTATGGCTTTTTGGTCTTTCAGCCCAGTACTGTCTAACAGAAATTCCTGTATCCTGTACCTGCACTGTCTTATGGGGTAATTGCCACTAGCTGCATGTGTCTATGGAGCACTTGAAAGACTACCAGTCCAAATTAGGGTGTGCCATGAGTGTAATACATGCCTTGGATGTATAAGACATAGGACAAAAAAGAATGCAAAGTAGCTCATGAATAGTTTTTACATTGATTACATAGTGAAATGATATTTGGGATCTACTGGTTAATTGTATAGTATTAAAGTTAATATTGCCCATTTATTTTAATTTTTTTCATGTGACTACTAGAACTTTCTAAATTGCTCATCTATTTCTGTCAGATAGCACTACCCTGGAGCACACTTAACTACCAATGTTGTGATGTCACGGCTTCTCCAGATGTGCTAGGGGTATAAACAGCCTCTGCCTCGATGGAAAATGGGAGGCCTGGGGCTGACTCAGTAGCCACAATCCCCTGGCATCAGATGATTTTGATTTTTGGTAGCTCACATACCATCGAGGGACTCCTATCAGGCCTATCCATGAGCACATTTGCTTAGTCATGTTCTGTGAGGAGTGTGGGCTCCAAAAACCTAGTGGAGAGAATAAGGCAGGGCTGTGGGAGCAAGGGCCAGACTGGTTTGAGCAGAATTTCCTTTTCTTTCCCTTTTCTTCACCCAG